ATAATATATTAAAGATGTATTATAGGCAGACGAGAAGAGTAGTATCAAGACAATATATGACTAGTACAAGAAAATAGTTTGCATCGTATTTTGTAAAGTTTTTCATACACAGAACTTTTTACAGACAGACGCTTTTGCACACAGAGACTTTTACACACAGACTTTTTTACAGACAGACGATTTTGCCCACAGAGACTTTTACACACAAACACTTTTACACACAGACGCTTTTACACACACAGACACTTTTACACACAGATGCTTTTACACACACACACGCTTTTACACACAGACGCTTTTACACACAGACACTTTTACACACAGATGCTTTTACACACACACACGCTTTTGCACACAGACGCTTTTGCACACAGAGACTTTTACACACAGACGCTTTTACACACAGACGCTTTTACACACAGACGCTTTTACGCATAGACGCTTTTACACACAGACGCTTTTACACGCAGACACTTTTACACACAGACGCTTTTACACACAGACGCTTTTACACACAGACGCTTTTTACAGACAGGCTCTTTTACACAGAGACGCTTTTACACACAGACGCTTTTACACACAGACACTTTTACACACAGATGCTTTTACACGCAGACGCTTTTACACACAGGCGCTTTTACACGCAGATGCTTTTACACACACACACACTTTCACACACAGAGGCTTTTACACACAAACACTTTCACACACAGAGGCTTTTACCCGCAGACGACTTTACACACAGACGCTTTTACACACAGACGCTTTTACACACAGAGGCTTTTACACACAGAGACTTTTACACACAGAGGCTTTTACCCGCAGACGATTTTACAAACAGACGCTTTCACACACAGACGCTTTTACACACAGAGACTTTTACACACAGTTGCTTTTACACACAGACGCTTTTACACACACAGACTTTTACACACAGACGCTTTTACACACAGACGCTTTTACACACAGACGCTTTTACACACAGACGCTTTTACACACAAACGCTTTTACACACAGACACTTTTACACACAGATGCTTTTACACACACGCTTTTGCACACAGACGCTTTTGCACACAGAGTCTTTTACACACAGACGCTTTTACACACAGAAGCTTTTACACACAGAGACTTTTACACACAGTTGCTTTTACACACAGACGCTTTTACACACAGACGCTTTTACGCACAGACGCTTTTACACACAAACGCTTTTACACACAGACGCTTTTACACACAGATGCTTTTACACACACACGCTTTTGCACACAGACGCTTTTGCACACAGAGACTTTTACACACAGACGCTTTTACACACAGACGCTTTTACACACAGACGCTTTTACACACAGACGCTTTTACACACAGAGGCTTTTACACACAGAGGCTTTTACATTTTACAACACCAACCTTTTATACAACACAAACAGAGAACTTTTTAACACACAGATGCTTTTACAACACAGACGCTTTTACACACAGACCTTTTTCACACAGACGCTTTTACACACAGACGCTTTTACACACAAACGCTTTTTACACATAGGCTCTTTTACACACAGACGCTTTTACACACAGACGCTTTTACACACAGCGCCTTTTACACACAGCACTTTTACACACAGACGCTTTTACACACAGACGCTTTTACACACAGACACTTTTACACACAAACGCTTTTACACACAGAGACTTTTACACACACAGACGCTTTTACACACAGAGCCTTTTACACACAGACGCTTTTACACACAGACGCTTTTACACACAGACGCTTTTACACACAGACGCTTTTACACACAGACGCTTTTACACACAAACGCTTTTACACACAGAGGCTTTTACACACAGAAGCTTTTACACACACACACGCTTTTACACACACACACGCTTTTACACACAGATGCTTTTACACACAGAGTCTTTTACACACAGACGCTTTTACACACACACGCTTTTACACACACACGCTTTTGCACACAGACGCTTTTGCACACAGAGTCTTTTACACACAGACGCTTTTACACACAGAAGCTTTTACACACAGACGCTTTTACACACAGTTTCTTCTACACACGACGCTTGTACACACAGACCGCTTTTAAACGCACAACGCTTTTTACACACAAACGCTTTTACACACAGACGCTTTTACAACAGAGGATGCTTTTACACACACACACACACTACAACGCTTTTTGCACACAGACGCTTTGCCACACAGAGTCTTTTACACACAGACGCTTTTACACACAGACGCTTTTACACACAGACGCTTTTACACACAAACGTTTTTTACACATAGGTTCTTTTACACACAGACGTTTTTACACACAGACGCTTTTACACACCGACGCTTTTACACACAGACGCTTTTACACACAGACACTTTTACACACAAACGCTTTTACACACAGACGCTTTTACACACAGACACTTTTACACACAAACGCTTTTGCACACAGACGCTTTGACACACAGACGCTTTTACACACAGACGCTTTTTTACACACAGACGCTTTTACACACAGACGCTTTTACACACACAGACGCTTTTTTACACAGACGCTTTTACACACAGACGCTTTTACACACAGACGCTTTTACACACAGAGGCTTTTACACACAGAGGCTTTTACACACAAACGCTTTTACACACAGACGCTTTTACACATAGACGCTTTTACACACAGACGCTTTTACACAGAGACGCTTTTACACATAGACGCTTTTACAAACAGACGCTTTTACACACAGACACTTTTACACACAGACCCTTTTACACACAGACGCTTTTACACACAGACACTTTTTACACACAGGCTCTTTTTACACATAGGCTCTTTTACACACAGACGCTTTTACACACAGACGCTTTTACACACAGAGACTTTTACACACAGATGCTTTTACACACAGACGCTTTGACACACAGACGCTTTTACACACAGACGCTTTTACACACAGACGCTTTTACACACAGACGCTTTTCCACACAGACGCTTTTGCACACAGAGACTTTTACACACAGACGCTTTTACACACAGACGCTTTTACACACAGACGCTTTTACACACAGACGCTTTTACACACAGACGCTTTTACACAGACGCTTTTAAACACAGACACTTTTACAGACAGACACTTTTACCCACAGAAGCTTTTACAAACAGACGCTTTTACAAACAGACGCTTTTACACACAGACACTTCTACACACAGAAAACCTTTTACACACAGATGCTTTTACACCCAGAGGCTTTTACACACAGAAGATTGCACACACACAGAAGCTTTTACACAGAAGCTTTTGCACACAGACACCTTTACACACAGAAACATTTACACACACACGCTTTGACACACAGACACTTTGACACACAAACACTTTTACACACAAACATCTTCACACAGAAACACTCTTACACCCAAACCCTTTTACACAGAGACACTTTTACACACAAAAGCTTTTACACACAAACACTTTTACACAGATGCACTTGTACACACAAACACTTTTACACACAAACATCTTTCCACCGAAACACTCCGACACACAAACACGTTTAAACAGATGCAATTTTACATGCAATCACTTTTACACACAAACATCTTTACACAGAAACACTCGTACACACAAACCCGTTTACACACAAAGACTTTTACACACCGAAGGTTTTACACACAACACGTTTACACAGATGCACTTGTACACACAAACACTTTTACACACAAACATCTTTACACAGAAACGCTCGCACACACAAACCACTTTTCCTGCGAAAGGATTACTCCAGCACACGATAAATCGTAATTTTACTTCAGTTTTTGCCGATCGACCCTCATTTCGTGCGAAAGGGTTGCTCCAGCACACGAAAAAACGCAATTTTACCTCAGTTTTTGCCGATCGACCCTCATTTCGTGCGAAAGAGCCTGGAGTGCCCAGAAGTTGCCGTTTTGAGGCATTTGACCAACAAAACAACAAAAGTTGCCAAAATGACAACTTTGACTTTGTGCTCAAAAACCATACTTTGCTATGCCAAGATGAAAGACTTAGTGCACCTCAAACATGCACTGTCCAGCGCTAAGATTCTGAAAAAAGTCTTTCAAGACCTCTGGTTTTACGCTTGAGCCACACAAGAACCCTTCCATGGTGCGCCAGGGAAGGGTTCTTGCAGAATAGATATATACATAGGTGGGCAAATATACGTTTTAAGTATGTACAGTATGGATATACATATATATATATATATAAATATATAATGTATATATTTTTTAAAGATTTATATATTCATACGTACACATACATAGTTACATATATACCTACATACCTGCATACCTACATGCATGCATACATACATGTAAATATGTATACATCTGTGTGCCGGGGTAAACTCCTATATCTTATATGTTATGACCATCATGTAGGACAAGAACACGTTAATAATGTTTCGCTTATTATTGCCGATGGGGCAATTGGCACAACTGAAAAGATCAAACTGTAAAACCATGTAAAACCAAAGGTTGCCAGCTACGTGTAGCACATATGGGTTTGGGTGCCCTAACATGTGGGCCAATCAAAAAAAAAATGGTGGTCGTTAGTGTCGCCAGATCTGCCAGCGAAACTGCAGCCTGATTTTTCCCAAGTTCACCGGCCACTCTCGTGCAATCTGCCCTTTAAGGGTCAGGGGCCTCAGGGGCCAAGAAGAAGTCGACAAAACACCTGTATCGGTGCATACATGTTTTTTCCAGGGTTGAAGCATGACATCGTGAAGCAACCCGGGCGATGTCTCCCATCAAAGATTCATCTGGGTAGCAGTGTTCATACCTTGTGGCTTCAGAATAGCGTCCAAACAAACAGAACCTTCATTTGGATATGCATCCCCAAAAGTATACGAAAACCATATTCAAATTCAAAGGGGTATACTCCAGATATAACTGGTCACGTAAGCTGGTTAACTTTCTACCCCCCGAGTTTGACTATGAGGTTTTTAAGAAAACACTATAAAGCGTAGACTAGGTACCTCACATTGCGCCCTGTGGTGGCGATGTATTCAATCATGTGGCAGAAGTAATGGCACTTGGGAATGATTTTGAAATTTCGTCTGTGCCCACGGTTTTGACCTGCGAGTCTCTGGTAGAAAAGTAAAAACCTATTGCCATAGTCCGCAGTCCTTCTCCTGTCGGGAAGGGACATCCATGGCCCACGCGTGTCCAACATATATTGGAAACTCGCCAGCGAGTAGCTCATGCAAACCAAATCTTCATCGCCAGCAACACGGTTGTCCATCAAGTACGAATGCAACCAAAACTGCATGTACTTTACAGTACTTGCCTTGTACTGGGTTGAAAGATCAGGCAGTGAAGACCACTTCTCCTTGTTGAACCTGGCTCGAGTGAACCTTAGGCAGCTGCCAGCCACTTGATTTTGTTTGCACCATCTTCGGTAATGGCGATAGGCCCTCAAAAGATGCTGGTCCAGCCCTTCCAGCGTGCACTGGGGATGATGTAGAAGAATGCTAGCTATCACTGCGCCAGCAATTGCACAGCAAGCTACCCCTTGGTGAAGTGTGTGCAAGAGGTCCTAAGCCACGCGTGGCATAGCAGCCAAACCAAAAACTGGATTTACTTGTAAAAAGCGCAAAACAAATTAAAAATTGCCAGCCAGCACCAGCAAAACTCAAGTAGCTGAAACCGGGTCCTATTTGCAAACAGAAGACATCAAGGTTGCGATCTTTGGTCCAGCCAGGAACGTTGAGCCATGAACTGTACCTTTCTGGAGGTGTCAGGATCATGAACTGTGCATGGGTAAATCTGCTTTCTCTCCAGGCTGCATTTTGTGAAAAGTCGCCAAAGGAAATTTGCCTGCTAGCTGCACAATGCTCGCAAATAGCATTGGACATATAGTTCCGAACCAGCTTGTGGATTTGCACTCGTGCCTCCAGATCCCCCTTCCATGCGCAAAATGCACCCATCCATGGTCTGCCAAGCGCCGAGTACGCAAATGGATGTCCAGCCCGACTGAACTCAATGGACGTAGTTGGAAATGGATTCCCCAAGTAGTCAGCTGTAGGGTACCGACCAGTTTGCAGAACCTTCATCACATATCCAATGATTTTCCCAATTGCATCATGGGTTTGAGGCTTCGACATGGCAGAATCTTTCAGGATGCAAAACACCATCTTATTGCTAATGGCTAGCTCGGATTTCTTCACCATGGATGAATAGCTGTAGACCCAGGCCTTTTGATTTCGAAAGATTTTCACACCATCAGCATGCCACACGATTGGTATGGTATGGGACGGCTCTGCAATGTTGAGTTGGTGGAAAAACTCTTCTCCATCCATGTGGCTCCAATACTCCTTGGAAGCAATGGTAGGGACCAGTTTACATGTAGCTGGTGTGGCATTTTTTAAATTCCAAAGTGACAAAATGCAAACGGATTTGTATGGAAACAGGGTGCCACAAAGGCACATGGTTTTTGCTGTTGTATCCCACTGAAATCTCCTAAGCAAACATCGTTTGAAAGTTTTACCTCCCATCGGCATTCCATTGGTAAGCCATATCCCTTCCAAATCCCATTTAAACTGTGTATCCATATTATTGTTCACTCCGATATTCCAATGGAAATTTATCCAGTGATATCCATATATCCCATTGTTATTTATCCTACTGGTATCCCATAGAGATGGTTCCCATTGATCCCAGTGAAAGATTTATCCCATTGGGTTCCCATTGGGTTCCCACTGAACATCACTGAAAGATTATCCGGGATATATCCCATTAATTTCCTTCTAAAAGAATCTAAGGTTTATCTATCCCATTGATTTCCCACTGATCGATTTATACCCATGACCCCATTGAGAAACCTGATTGATTCCCGTTGCGCGATTTAAGTCATTGATCTCTAATTGTAAAGTTGATTCCATGGTTTTTCTTTGAAGGAATTGGACCATAGATATCCATTTGATGTACGCCACATCGCATTAAATATGCAAGTCTGTTTTTTTTATCCCATGCATGGATAGATCCCCTGCTGATAAGAACATATCCAAATAACCCATTGGTAAGAAACCCACATATCCCATTGTCAATTCACAGATCAAGGGGTTGAAGCCACTGGCACCCAGGTGCTCCTTATGACCTTAAATGTGGGCGGTCTTGGGCCAACTTGGAAAAATGGTTTAGACGCAGCACGTTTGCAGACGTGCTGCTTCTGAACCATTTCTTCTAAGCAGGCTCAAGACCGCCCACAGTATAACGTTTGCATTGATTTACATCCCGCTGGGGCCCTCAGTGATTGAAACTGGGTGTCCTAAACTGTACCTGTTCATAGTCCAAGAAGCTTCGCATTTGAAGTTGGCCTTCTGGGGTTTGTTTGTAATCCAACCATGTAGATTCCCAAGTTCACATCGCCAATGCAGTAAATCCCATGGCCACAGAACAGGAACTGGACTGTTTCGAACTACGAGTTTTGCTGGGTCCATCTCATCTTCAAATAGGTATGGTACTTGAATCTCTCCAAGAGGAAGCCGACCATGTTTGGCATACCACCTGAGCAGGTCACCATAACATTGTTTTGGCTATGGGGTTAAGAAACCATTTCGGGGACTCCAATTGAACACAGGGTGAAATAACCAGTGGGATGAGTCACTGGGGACAAGGCAAGAATAACCAACATAAAGAATAGTGAGTTTGGTTTTCCCTTGAAGGCCTCTCAAATGAACGTTCTTCATGGCCATGACCACTCCAAGAACACATCAGTTCCGCTAGATTGCACTGTGTGCCATCTTTCAGCAATCCATCTGCATCAGCACACATCTCCGCTGCTGTAGTCTTCTGGCAGGGTTCAGATGTATACTATCTATCTATCTGACTATCTGAATATCTATCTATCTATATAGCTCTATATATATATTTAGTCATAGTTACTTATGCATGGTTATATGCACAAAAACAACTCAGCTTATATTTAAACACACACGATGTCCATAAACAATATCTGATGGGTATGGATTTGAAACTGTTTGGGGAACTGTTTGAAAATGAAACTCACATGTTTTTTGAGCCCCGCTCCCCTGTGCAGAGTTTTTCAAGCAACCGTCTAGCAGTATAGGACCCATTGGACACCACCTCAATACCTGAGAGGTTCCAAAACCCAAACACAAAAGGTATAGAACTACCCGTGATTTGTGGGATTTCCTAGTTTACCTACTTTAGGGGCAGAGAAAAACTTGCTGTTGCTCACCTCCAAGGTGCCTGGATCCAAAGCTCTACTGCGACGAGATCGATATGCAGGACACCCCCGGCTGCGGGATCGCTCCAACCTGCGTGGGAGATTGGATAGCTAAATAAGATAAACACATAGGTTCATATACCTGGGTAATTAACAGATGCTTTCATTTATCCACCAGCACTTTTTGGCATGTGATGTCATGCACAGCTGGTGATACATGTTAGGGATTTCTTGTGACGACATCAAAGCCGATGAACACAGTTTAATCCTTTTTTGACAGCTCCGAATGGCTGCTCAGCTCTGATCACATCAAATGGAGATATGGATAGATGGATGCAGTGCATCCCACCAAGAACCAAGAACGGCAGTATGTTTTCACACTGCACATGCCCCTATTGAGACCTCATGGCTGCCGAACTTTGCATAGCACACCCACACACAAAACATGTTTTTTTCAGACACTCTACAGCAACTAAGGGGAAAAACTATTTCAAACATAAATTGGTGAGCCGACTTAAACAAAACATCCACAGCACCATGCCAGCGCACTATGCAACCAGAAGGTCTAGCCGTTGTGGCTGCAAAAGCAAACGACCGGAAGTCATGCTGATACCACTGCTTTATACTCAGTCATCCTTTTTGGTAGTCTTCTTCTTCTTTGCCTTGTTCTCTCCACCCGTTTCGATCTTTGCCTCCTCTCCGCTCTTCGCTGCCGCCTTTGCTTTTGCTCTCGGCTTCTTTGCATTCTCTGCTGCCCTGAGCAAAGCTTTGGCAAGTTCAACTTTTTCTTTGGCCATGTCGGTAAGCTTAGAGACCTGAAGAGCAAGCAGACAGCAAACAGGACAGATACAAAACAAAGACAGTGTCTTTGGCAAAGGAGTTGAAACATGAAAAATGTGGAAACTTAACCTCATTTTCCCAGTAGCCCAACCTGTTCTGTGATGTCCTTGTAGTGTTTCCACTTGTTCTTGCCCTTGTTCACTAACTCCTGGATCTGGCGTGCTGCTCCTTGCAACTTCGTCTCCAAGGCTTTCAGGTAGTCGATCAGCTGGTTGCTCATCTCAAGCGGTTTAAGTTTGAACGCGTTGTCCCTGCAAGGGCTTTCAAAACCCAATCACGACAAACGAGGTAACCAAACCATGCATGACCTTGTACAGTAACAGTTTTGGCCGATCGAGCCTGCAAGTGTTGGCATCTTTCAGCACTTTGTGCATCAATGCCTCCGCTTTGTCTTTTGGAGATGCTGGTTGAACCTGCAGGGGGATAATGGGTGAAAGATGGAATGCAGACAGCCCCATAGACTACAACCTAACCAAGGAAATATTTAGGGTCAGTCGTTTGTCCGGTATAGCACCTTTATGATCCTTTATGTGGTCAAGACCTTTTTTTGCTGCTGTGGTCACAATGATTGTTTTGAATACCCAGGCCTCTGTTGCATTGCCAGCAGTTTCCTTCTCAGTATTCTTTGCCTTTTTTTCTTTCTTCTTTTGTCCGGCCTCTTGTCCCATGTCCATGAAAGCGAGGGCTTTGGATACAGCACCAGCTGAAGATGCATCTCCAAGCTTCAAAGTTGCTTTAGGATCCAAGATGCCTCCTTGTTCCGTAAAGGACTTCAGCATTTCGTCAGTGACTTGGCCTGAGCACTCCAAGCTTGTGACCTTTTTCAACTGGTTCACATTGCTAATGTCCAAGGACACAAGTACAAAGTACAAACTGTCATCTTCGTCTTCTGGGTCCGTGATGTAGAGACCTTGGGATTTCTTCTTGTTCAAAATCTTCAGTGCCTTCTGTTCTCCGTGGGTGTCCTTGAGCCATTTCTCACTCCTGAATCCATACTTCACTTCTGACTTCTGAGCCTCCTCCATCTCATGTTTGTGCTTGGCTATGATGTCTTCTACGCAACCTTTCTGTAGGACCCAATCCCGAAAGAGGCTTGCTCGCCCTTCTTCTGTCTGAAGGCGTGTTCCCAAGATCGAAGGAAACCTCTTCCCGTTCTTGATCCACCTCCTGAAAGCGCTGTACTCTGCATTGTGTGTACTGGAGTTGATCAACATGTTCTCCTCTGCCTCTTTCAGCTTCTTGTTCGTAGTCTCATCTTCGGCCGTGGGTGTTGCTTCCCGTTCTCGCTTCCCGTTCTCGTTTGCTGCACCTGCACCTTCCTCATTTGCTTTCTTCTCTTTGCCCACATGTTTATTTGTCTTCTCTGTCTCTACCTTCTCACTGTCACCTTCATGGGCCTTCTCTTTCTTATCCTTCTTGTCCTTCTTGTCCTTTCTGTCTTTCTTGTCCTTCTTGTCCTTCTTGTCCTTTCTGTCTTTCTTGTCCTTCTTGTCGCTGTCCTTGCTATCCTTGTTGTCCTTCTTGTCCACCTGATCTTTTTCCTCGCTTGTGTCTTTGGTGATGGCCTCATGATCCTTCTTCGCTTTCTTGTCTTTGCTTGCCTCAGCCTTGCTGCTCTTCTTCTCTTTCTTTGCAGTTGTAACTGGCTCTTCTGCCTTTGCAACCTTCTTTGGTCTCCTGCACTCTTGCTGTTCGCTGGTCTTAGCTGCCACCGTCTTCTCCTGGGCACAGGTTTGGGAAAAAATCGAAACACATAAAGGACATATGGGTATTGAAACATTGCGATGATGATGTTGACATTGTACAGAATATGAAGGACGCAGAGGTATAAAAAAGCGAATGGACATGGTTGTATGTTGAAGGCAAGGCACCTCTGTACCATTCTTGCCTTTGGTCGGCTTCTCAACTGCCTGGGGTTTCTTTTCATTCTTGTTGCCTGCAGCCTTCTTTTCCTCAGTGTCGCTGGAATCCACAGAGGAACTGCTCTGCTCCTCCTCCTCTGCCCCTTGCTCAGAGTTGCTTTCCTTTTCTGATTCTGCTTCTACTTCTTCCTCTGTATCTTCTTCTTCTCTTTTTCTTCTTCTCTTCTTCTTCTCTTTCTTCTTCTATCTCTTCTCTCTTCTTCTTTTCTCTCTGTCTTTCTCTTCTTCTTCTCTATCTATCTTTTCTTCTTTCTTTTCTTTGCTTCTCATTCTATCTCTTTTTCTCCTTAGATTCTCTCGGTACTGGTTCTCTTTCTTTCTTATCTTCTTCTTCATTTTCTTCTCTATATCTTCTTCTCTTCTTGTCTTGTCCTGATTACTACCTGTTTCTTCTTTTTCTTCAGTCTATCTCTCTCGTTCTAGTCTCTTTCTAATCTTCTGTTCTAGTTCTTCTTAACTCTCTTTCGTTTTTTCTCTGTCTTTATCTCTTTTCGTGCTGCTATCCTTCTTGCTTCCAGCTGCTCCGCTTCTTCATTTCTCTCTCTGAGTCTTATCTTGGCCTGTCTTCTCTATGCTTCTGTCTGCTCTTCTTCTGATTCTGCTTCTACTTCTTCCTCTGTATCTTCCTTGTCACTTTCATCGCATTCTGTTGCTTCTTCACCGTCTTCCTTTTCATCTTCTTCGTCGGAGCCCAGACTGGACTTGTCATCTTCTTCCCCCTCTCCGGTCTCTGAACTCCCTGAACTGCTGTCGTCTTCGCATGCTGAAGTTGCTGATGTCTCGCTGTCTGATGGTGCCGAAGAAGTAGCTGCAGTATTCATAGAAGCCAAGATCTTGCTGGCCTGGTCATCACTCATAGACTGTTCCTTGGCAACCTCTTTCTTCTCAGTGTGCTGTTCGCTTTCTGGAGTGATGATGTGCACAGTGTCTTTGGGTGCGAAAGTCAACTTCTTGGGCTTCACAGGTGGTGTACCACTTCTAGAGGGTGTCTTCAAAATTGTCTTGCTCACAGGTGTCACCTCAACCGGAATCGCCTTTGAATGTTTCCCTTTGTCCTTTCCTTTGTCTTTTCCTTTCACTTTGTCATTGGCTTTCCTCAACTTAGCCCCATTAGGACTCTTGCTAGGCATGTTTGCCTCACTGGCCGGTGTCTTTTGTCTGCACCGGCGAAGAACCATATGAACAGTGTTTCAGCCTGCAGCCACCCTTAATTGAGCCAAGGTGCAGAGAGATCAGCAATTCTGCACTGATGTTTGCAAAAGGGTCTGAAGGATATGTAAAGTCTCTTTCAATTGGAAAGTTGATCACTATAGATAAAGAAAAGACAGCAACTTTGCCATTTTTTTGCCCAGCACTGTGCAAATCCTTCTTGTGGTGCAATTGGTTTCCCAGAAGTCGGTTGGACTGTTTTAATTTCTATGAATTTTTTCACAAATTTCCCAGCTTTCTGAGAGGCTCCCCAAACCCAACAAAATTGTCGGTTTTTGTCGGGGTTTTGTCGGTTTTTTGTCGGTTTGTCGGGTTTCCCCCTTTTGAGAAATTTTTGGAAAAAACACAAAAATGAGCTGAAAGGTGAGATTGCCCAGGAAATTATACTAGTTGGTCTGGTCTCCTCCCATGCAAGCTAGCTAGCACAGGCTCCTTTCAGGAGTCAAGACTGCAAACTGCAAATGACTTGCCGCAGCTGGGCATGCTTCACAAACCCAGGGTCCTGCATGCGCAGCTGTTGCCACCCGCAAGCCCGACAAAGCCAAGAGCCGACAAAGCCGACAAAGCCGACAAAGCCGACAAAGCCGACAAAGCCGACAAAGCCGACAAAGCCGACAAACCGACAAACCGACAAAGCCGACAAAGACAAACCAAAGCCGACAAAACCGACAAATCCGACAAGGCCGACAAAGGCGACAAAGGTGACAAAGACAAAACCACAAGCCGACAGCATACATAATATATATATATATCTCTCTCTCTCTCTCTCTACGTCTATCTTTCTATCTATCTATCTGTCTATCTATCTATCTGTCTGTCTGTCTGTCTGTCTCTCTCTCTCTCTACCTATCTATGTATCCATTTGCCTATATCCACCCATTCATCTTCTCATCCACTCATCCGTACCATCCATTCATCCACCCAGCCATCCAACCACTCACCTATATATGATATGTAGTCTTTTCACATGTGTACATATGATACTATGTAAATATCAACATACCTACTATATATATATATGTATTATACTTACCATACCTACCACAGTTAAACACACAGATAGAAAACAAGCTGTTGGGTCCTTCATCTCACGACGTGGGTTGGCACGTAGGCTCGCTGCATTGTCCGACACCTCTTTAGAGATCGTGTCGTGTTGCTGCAGGTATAGCTCGCATACTGCTTCCCCAAATGCAGGTGGATAGTGCTGTGTTTGCTTCAGGTCTTTTCCTTAGATGTCAAAGACATGTCATCGTGGCATATGAGTTGGATGCTCACTATAAGTCGAGGCACCACCACACACTCTGACCAATCCTTGCCAATCAAAGTACCTCAGTTTTTTCTATGATTTGTGTTGCTTGATCATATGTTCCCAAACTTATGATTCGCAAGGTGTTCATAAATGCAGCCAAGTTGCTTTCGGGAAACATCCAGATCCAAATCGGTGAACTTCTTCTTGGGGAGTGGGCAATATAACTGTCCAATCCAATCATAGTTTGAATAGAGGACTGTTGGTTTTGCACCTTTGCTGCGGACACAGTTTGTGGGATTGATGTGCAAGCTTTTACACTAACGTATGCTAGTTTGATATGTTGATGAACTTCAAGCTATTTCAGGCCAAGTCTCTACATCCTCCATAACTCCCCATCCATATAAACGCCTGCAGCAGGCTCACATTGATTTTGGTTTCACAAATATTGGGGGTTACAACTCCCAATCCCACCCAAGCGGCCTTATATATTCGGAAGTGGCGACAGAGCCAAACGAAGAGGGGGTGCTCTTCCAAGATCGAAGATCCCGGCTGTTCTACCACAAAGCATAGGCGAAGTATACACATGACCAGCAAATTGATGCACATACGACTCACCATCAAATTCCTTGGTTTGGCAGGAGTAATGGACTTGTGGTCTATCCTTCAGGTCAAAGGTTGAAGGCAGGTCGTTTGGAGCTATGCTTCACTGATGACCCTGAACGATGAGCATTTTTTCCCCAGCTTTTCATGTCCTTCAACTCGGATTTCAAACCCTCAAAGGGCTTGGACGAACCCAATATAAGGCTGTGCTATTGACAGCGAATCGAAACAGCAAAGGTCTCATGTAGCCCTAGGAGTCGAGCTGAATCCTCATTTTGGCAGCAGCTTCTTCCCAAGCATCGCTGATGCTGCTCTTCCACCCGATCCTTAGGTATAATTTTGGGATTGGTTTAAATTTAGAACCTTTACTGGTGAAATACATTACAGACTCTTGGTGGCCAAATGGTTTGAATTCTTTACATGGATTCCCAAACCCCTACCTTTCAATATTAAACTGATTGAATTTTGGATGATTTTTGGGTACCACCATTTCACGAAAACTCCCACATGTTCAGCTAAGGGTCTGTTTCTCTGAAAGGCACTCACCACCAACTGCGTTTTTGGGCTTGAATGATCGCCCCCGAAGCAATACTTCCAATTTGGCTCCACCATCGAAATGCCTGAGCTGCAGGATTTCAGGGGGTCACAGGTTTGCAGGCAGCTGTGTAGAACTACATGGCGCTTGTCAAATCTGTGACCCCCACATTGCTGGCTGCACTTTCATCGACAAGGACTGAATGGGAAAGCCAAGGGGCACCGTGTAGCTGTGCTTTCCATGCTCGGTACTCTGGGGCCACAAGAAAGCAGGCAATTTTCGCAGAGCATCATGGTAGCAAGGATCAACAGAATCCATGATGTCCTTCTTGCTGATCCAAAAGAAAGCTCCTTTCGTGACAACACATTCATCTTTCTTAAGCAATCTGAAACCTTTCAAACACACTCGCTTCAGGTAAAATGCATCCATTGTTGAAATATCTTGTAAACACAATTGTAGTGTCACCGTGTTTTGATCAACCATTCTCCTTCTGGTTCCGATCCTGCATCCATGTCGAACTTTGACTGCTTTTTGGCCTTCTTTGGCTTCTTAGATTTCGAGGTCTTTGACTTGGACGATGGTTCTTTCCTTTTTTTGCCTGGGTGTGCCAATGTTACCATTGCATGCTGAAAACACAAACATGGCTGTGCTATGCAGGACTTGTGTGAATGGTGCCTGGCCTTCCTCGCGTTCGACGGGGACTGCCTGTGGAGGCTCGCACTCGATCTGTTGGGCAGCTTCATCGTAGCCATCCGGTTTGGAAGGGCAAAGCTCCTTGTGGGTATCCTGGTGTTTCCCAAGCTCAGAGGACACATCCAAATCCTGCTTCATAATGGAGTCGACCTAGGCTTCAGCGAAATGGATTTACATGGAAGGTTCTTGAACACACTTTTGTCACAAGTTTCTGATCATTAACCTTCAGGGTTTCTTTGGAACTCAAATGATATGATAAATGTAAGCCAAGATACAGCTGCGCTCACATCACCGCATTCCACTTCTGAATCGGAGTTGGAAGTCTCAGATTCACTTTGTTCACCTTCTTCACCATGGGGCCAAGGGGCAACAGATTCGATCCCTCCATCAGAGTCAGACTCATGGTCAGATGCAGGTTTCTCATTGGAATTTCCCCAAATGTCATTCTTGTAGGGGCTGGGCTGGTCGGACTTCACAGACTCAGACTCGGACGTAGGAGAGGAACCCGCATCATGTTCTGATTCAATGTTCACATCATCACCCCCAACAGGTTGAACAGGCTGGACAGGTCGGACAGGTGACTCTCCCAACACCTGGGTGCTATCATCATCTTCCTCAGTCAGTTCGGGATCTTTAGAACCACGGTTCCTTTTGCACTTGTCGAAGAAATCCTGCACGAGCTGTTCGCTAAGCTGAACATGCATATGAACCGGTTCATCACACGGGTTCTTCTTCTTCTTCTTGGAAGTTTCTGGTTCCCCCACTTTGTCTGTAGCGCTGGAGCTCGCACCCGAGCTACATGGAAATTCAGCCGCAAGAGAGCCCGATTTAAGCTCCTCAGTGAGTTCCGCAAGGGCTTCTTCAAAAATTTCTTTCATATCAAGTTCAGAAGGATCTTTTGACAAAGTAGCTTCCAGAGATTCAGGGGGCGGTTGAGAATCTCCATCAGGGTCTTGAGAATCCTACAGGGTTGGAAACTTGCGTGTTCCCAAGACTGGTTGTAGACTTGTAGATAGGTTAAACTGAACACTGCATGGCTATCTGCCCTGTGGTGCAGGGGACTGTCCTCATCATTGCGACGCATGAAAGACTTCAAGGCCTGGATTCTCTCGTCATTGGATGCAGAAGGTGAATTTCTCCACAGGCTCCTCAAGCCACCCCATAGCTTACGCATGATGTAGGTGAGAGCCCCGATCTCCGTGTCAACATCCTGAGTTGACATGGCTTGAGCCCTTCCAGATATGTATACATGTTTACTTACCGACTTGACCATCCCATACCTTTAAAGCATTGTTGTCAGATATATTTTTTGGAGGCTTCACTCAGACAAGGCTCTGTCAAAGGGCCAGGTCGAATGGCCAAGTTCTGCCAAGGTTTAACCAAATACAGTCCAAGCAAGAACATGGGGGAACAGTGCGCAACATGCATAAAAGGTGTGCAAGAAACACATCGATATAGATCCAAACAGATCCAAAGGAATAAAATCACTCATAGTCCCATAGATTGAAAATCACTGGAAGGTAGCTAGCTACAGGTATGAACTGGTTTATAGGCAGACAGATCGCTCGATGGATGGACGGATCGATGGGTGGATAGATGGATAGACAATGAGATGGATAGATGAACAGATGGACAGATGATGATAGATGGAGAGGTGGATAGATGGAAGGATGGAAGAATGGGAGGATGGATAGATGGATGGATAGATGGATAGATAGATAGATAGAAAGACAGATAGATGGATGGATGGATAGATGGGCAAATGGATGCATGGATGGATGGATGGATAGATGGATAGATAGAGGTAGAGGTATAGGTATAGATAAAATTTTAGATATAGACATATAACATCAATAGATACAGATAGCAGCAGATGCAAAGATACATAGATAGATTCAAAATAGGCAGAAATGGATAGGTACAGAAATCCAGTTTGAGATATGGATGGATACAAGTACAGGTAAGTAGATGGATAGGGGTATATTCAATTATTTTCATATGTACAAAAACTGTATGTATAAAATATCACATATATATAATATATATATATATATATGATATATATATAATATATATATATGATATATATATAATATATATATATGATATATATATATGATATATATATATATATATGTGCGTGTGTTTATGTAGGATTTGGTTGGTTGAATGTGTGAGCCTTGGAAGCTGCATTCACCGATTCCAGGATGACTGTGCACTCCGTTTTCGATGGAAGCCGTACTTGGAAGTCCGGGTGCCCAAGAAGGGCCTCCAGGAACCATTCGTTGATCAGCCTAAGATGGTTGCACTGTAAAGCACATAATCTCATGTGTGCCATTTTCAAAGAACTTAAGTGGAGAGTGGAGAGACAGCTCCAAGCCAAGTAGCAGATCATTTTCGAATCCTCCAGTTCCAAAGCGGGTAATGCCAAGCAAACGGCACTTCTGCTCTTCACCATATGGAGTTAACACCTTGTCCTGTCATGAAAATGTTCCCCAAAATGTGAACAACAGGAACGATCTGACTGCCATATTTGTTGAACTTTGTTGATAAGATTTGATCAGTTGTTTGCAGGTCCTGAAGGTCAGCAGGCATGTTGTTGTAGATCTTGATCCCAAGCTCATTGAGCTCCACTGCCATGCGTTCTTCGGCTGAGCCCATCTCAACTAGAGGCAAGACCCCTGATAGTCTGACCCAAAATGCTTCTTTGCATGCGACCATTCAGGAAGCAGCTACAGCTACAGCTTACCTGTTTACCTTGGATACTATGATGGAACCCCGAGGAAATTGACAGATCCTTATACAAACTAATATGTGACTTGAGCAATCCTAAGAGAGATCCAACACCCCGAATGAGAGTTGCCACCCTGTACCACGCAGCTGGCCAAGGCTCGCTTCCCACACACAGGGCACTGATGTATCTCCTAATGGAGAAGCTGAGCTTCGTTTGGTAGAACCTAGAGGCGAGATAGATGGGTTGGTCTCGGCATTCATGTGCGACTGGAAACCTTTTGGAATGAAATCATGTGCCATAATTTTTCCTTTGCAACCGCAAAATCCAAACTGTTTCAAGCAAGTTGCCCCGAGATAGCCATACCCACGTCGAGCAAACTGGTGCTTCGAAATTGAGCCCAACCTCGGGATCAAAGTGATGTGATCATTCGATCCAACATGTGGTGCAAGTTGACTATCACACAACCATGTTTTATCATGTTGTCAAAGAATGGCAAACCTTTGTTTTATCATGTTGTCAAACAATGGCAAACCTTTGTTTTTTCTTGCTGTCAAAGAATGGCAAACCTTTGCTTTATCATGTTGTCAAAGTATGGCAAACCTTTGAACATTCAAATCCAACTTGTCAAACGACAAGCAACTTTTTTGAACAACCGAATGGTCAGGGCCAAGCAGTATGCAAATCCCAGGCCACTGTTGTAATCCTGGAACACTGGATCGTCGTTGATCTCATAGCTGGCGCTTGCATGGCCACGATTCCTTTGCAGGGAGTGGAGCGATAGACACATTTCAACAGATGTGGGAATGGGTCAGACACGGGATAGCTATGGACCTATTTACAAGTTAAAATCATTCAATTATTTGTTATTTAAACACCACCCAGGTTTGGGTGTGAATGTATATGTATAAGATCAACAACTTGGACCCATGCCCATTTATGGATGCACTTGGAAAATACATCCAAGGCCCTTCAGATATTGAAACCCATTTCTTAACCTCCCTAAAGAAAACATGCACTGCAATGCCAAGAGTCTTGAAGGCAGTGTGGATTCGCTTCACTCCAGCAAATTTCTCGACCGCCATCAGACCCTGGGATGTTACCACGTGAAGGACCAAAACAAGTGGGGGCACAGCAAGAGCAGCGCAGGGTTGTTAATGCAGATGAGGTGCAATTTCCGGCTTTGACATGTGACGCATCACCATGTCCACGATCGACAGAACTGAATAAGGTGCCCCTCCGAACATGAGCAAAGTCATCCTCAGTTGGACATGTATGATGAACCAAAAAGAAAGGAACTGATAAAACATGTGTTTCTACTGTTTGGGGTTTCTTTATAATTACAATGTATGTCCATATGCCGACGCACATCAATAGTCAACCTGTTGCACTTCTTCCTAAGTAAATGTTTAAAACAAAATGGTTTGTTTATCCATCTACCTGACAAGATGTTTTCCTGTTTTCCGAAAATTGTTTGGCCAATGTAGATATGTAACTATCCACCGCCAATCCAAAACTATCTATACCAAGAAACACAGTTTTCAAGACATCGGGAAGGTCAGAAGAAGGGTTGAAGGGACACCTCCTTGAAGGCCCCTCAGGTTCTCTCTGTTTCATCTTCAAATACTTCTTCATATCGCGCTGGTGCCGCGAATGGGGTTTTTTCACCTTCACCACCTTCTTGTTCCCACCCATGGCTGCAAAGTGTTGCAACTGAACACCCTGACCCAAAAAAAGGCTATGGTTAGCTCACATGCTCAAGGTGACATGGTACCTGCTTTCAACAAGCATGTGAGACTGCGACATGCTTCAACTGCAAGGCATGGGGTGGCACCTGGGACCTCCCAACGCAGCTGCCGCTAAGCCGGCCATGCATGTGCCACACCCGCCCACCCATATGCCAAAAAGAAAAAAATAAAACATGTTCACTTTAAAAATTGCAGTAGCAAAAGGTCCAGTGGGCCATGCATCATTCAAATCATGCAACTTAGCTGCCATGTGTTTCATGTGCATTTTCTGCAAAGTAAGGCCTGCAATTACACATGCTGAAACCAGCAACTCAGCTGGTAGCCTTGGTAGCGGAGCATGGGGCCAGCGAAGGCCGGCGAGGAGCAAGTGAATTTACCTGCTGCTGTTTCTTTAAACAAAATTACCTGCCACAACATCTCAAAATCAAATGCGCCATCCTGACCTTTGCAAAATACCAGATATTATATGCATATACACAAACACAAAAGAAAGGTTGAACCACGAACCCGAATGCTTTTCTTTTTTCCCACAAATCGCTCTGGCAAGGCAAGAGAAATCTTGCCAATCCAGGTGCCAAGTATATAAATCATTCCTATGACACATTCAAATGTGTCGGGAAGCAACAAAACCCAACAAATGTGCCGTGTGTTCAACATGGAGATCAATATGGCAACTTCATGGATCAAAGTTGCCAAAACAACAACTTTGGGCACTCCAGGAGTTGCTCCAGCACACGAAAATTCGCAATTTTACCTCAGTTTTTGCCGATCGACCCTCATTTCGTGCGAAAGAGTTGCTCCAGCACACGAAAATTCGCAATTTTACTTCAGTTTTTGCCGATCGACCCTCATTTCGTGCGAAAGGGTTACTCCAGCACACGCAAATTCGCAATTTTACCTCAGTTTTTGCCGATCGACCCTCATTTCGTGCGAAAGGGTTACTCCAGCACAAGTAAAATCGCAATTTTATCTCAGTTTTTGCCGATCGACCCTCATTTCGTGCGAAAGGGTTACTCCAGCACAAGTAAAATCGCAATTTTACCTCAGTTTTTGCCGATCGACCCTCATTTCGTGCGAAAGGGTTGACGTTTCGTGACTCACCGCCGGTACCACCCTCGGCCTAAAGAGAGAAAGATAAAGAAGGCGAGAGAGAGAAAAAGGAGAGAGAAAGGAGAGAAGATGTGAAGGTGAGAAGATGTGAGAGAAGGTGTGAAGATGAGCAGATGTGAAGATGAGCAGATGTGAGAGAAGATGTGAAGATGAGCAGATGTGAAGATGAGCAGATGTGAGAGAAGATGTGAGAGAAGATGTGAAGATGAGCAGATGTGAAGATGAGCAGATGTGAAGATGAGCAGATGTGAGAGAAGATGTGAGAGCAGATGTGAGAGCAGATGTGAGAGCAGATGTGAAGATGAGCAGATGTGAGAGAAGATGTGAGAGAAGATATGAAGATGAGCAGATGAGAGAAGATGTGAGAGAAGATGTGAGAGAAGATGTGAAGATGAGCAGATGAGCAGATGTGAAGATGAGCAGATGTGAAGATGAGCAGATGTGAGAGAAGATGAGAGAGAAGATGCGAAGATGAGCAGATGTGAAGATGAGCAGATGTGAAGATGAGCAGATGTGAGAGAAGATGTGAAGATGAGCAGATGTGAAGATGAGCAGATGTGAGAGAAGATGTGAGAGAAGATGTGATGATGAGCAGATGTGAAAAAATAAGAAGGTGTGAAGATGAGAAGGTGTGAAGATGAGAAGGTGTGAAGATGAGAAGATGAGATACAGACCCCCACTATTGGAAGAACCCTGCGCTCAGACGCTCTCGGGAAAAACGGCAGAATTTGAAGGAAGCCGTGATGTATACCATCAACTATCGATTAAGTCCTTCATTGGTTCCGTGAAGATCTTGAAACGAATTCGGAATCAAGGACCATACCCACACATATATAAATGGTCTGTCTACCTACATAGGTAGCAGTCAGGGGATATGAATGTAATGAATAATGAGCAATTAATGAATAATGTGATAATATATGTGGTAATCATCATGAATAGTGTGGCATGAACTTATATATTATATAATAGTCATATAGCCAGTAAATTGGTATGAATACTACAATGAATAATATACCAGTTCAAATGTGGAGATATCCCAGCCAAGTATTGCTTCAACCAACAAGAATCAGCATAGAAACAAGGAAGAATTGGCTACATAACTCAGAGATTCATGAGAATTTTCATGAGTATCATTCTCTGAAACTAGAGAGTAATCTATGTAACTATTCAACTTTAATCAATATATTCCAACTGCAAACAACCAGCAAAAATGGATTCTTGTGCAAACATCCCACGAGGCAAAAGATCCAACAGTCCAACACAGCCATGATCTGAAGTCACCTGAAAAATAGGATTGCAATGCTGGTGTTTTTCTGGTTTTAACTACAATAGTTGCAAACTGCAAACTGTTCACTTGGACTTCTTCAGTGCAAATTCATCAACCGGATCAGTGAACGTTCAAAGGTCAATGTTTTTTTATCAGCCATTTTCAGCACGTATTCTATGCACAACGATTACAAACAAAACCTATCAGATAAAAAAAATGCCACCATAAATTCCTGGGCACGTCGGACTTACAAAATAATATACCCTCCAGTAATTTAACAGTTTGCTATGGAAGCCATGGCCAAGAAATAGTTCGATGATGTACCTATCATTTGGATAAGTTGCTTTTGCACTTTGCAAACGGTCAGTGATTAGAGGGTCAAATCCGCCACGGTTAATGGATCCGGCCGTTCCAATCAGAACTGCAAGTGGTGTCCCCCACTGTGTTTTTGTACGTCCTTGATAAGGTTGTCCCAGGAAACAAGCTAGGTTTTAATCACACATACTAACGGCTTACTGTTTGGGATAACTCGGATGACTCTCCTAGTATCATATTTGACCTTCAGACCATATTGGCTGTCTGATTTCTTTCACCAGGCTGAAAAAATCCTTCATCTGGAGCCATGCTGTGCTTTTGGGCCCACACTCTGGCAGTCGTCCTAAGACACCTCAGTGTGACATACTGTCAGTGGGGACTCACCTGCCGTGGATGTTAGGCTCCGATTCCCCCAATGGTTGGGACCAGTTACCAACCTTTTACGAACCACGAACGGCAGAAATTGGAGATGTCTCCGAAACCAACTCTGGGGGGTTCTTCGTCCAAAAAATGATGCCTCAAGCAGCAACACACGAAAAAGGGGGGCTTCTGCAAAAATGGCTTTTCTCACACTAGGTCCAATAACTGGATGCCAGGGGCCCTTGGTGCTTGGGATCCCTGTCGATCCAATGTGCGGGGCGTGGCAATTTCGGAAATCTCTGATAATGGAGGTTTCTAGCTTGGAAAATCATCTCTAAATCGGACATTGCCTATTGCCACGTTTCATTGCCAGACGGCATGCACTTTATTGCCCAGAGATTTTTCAAAGCCTATTCGAGATATTTCCAGAGAAATACAGTATGGGACTATCAATCACTCAAGCATAACATTACACGATACAAAATGGAAAGTGATAAAATTGACCAATATGTAGACTAATGCCAACCCTGGATTAAGCTAACAGAAACTGACTATTATTGGGATATTGGGCGGGTTACCACAAAAATAGAATAAAATAGAGACGCATTACTGTTCAAATTGGTCGGCCGCTACTAATAAACTGAGGGGTTTGAAAAATCCTGGATAGATACTGACTTTGCAATAGTCATAACATTCCATTTTTATATAAACCCCGATTGGGAGTAATGAAATTGAAATCACTGTAATATCAATCAATGTTTACATTGATAGCAATTATACTTGCATTATCTTACATTGTGTTCCAATGTTAGATTGGCATTGCTCTTCAGGAGTGCCCGCGTTCTCGTGTCGTTTTCTACGCATCACGCAGCAAATTTCACGGTTGACCATTGGTGAAACGCAACGTTCTGCCGTATCAAATCATGCCTTTCGAAGAACTTCAGTGCCCATGTTTTTGGGGGATTTGTATGGGTACCCTGAAATTTCATGCTTGATCATCTTCATCAAACTCATCAAGATTGCAATTATGGGGCATTCACGGAGCAAACTGTTTGGAGAAACCATGCTTGTCTGGTTGGTGGTTTCAATCCCTTTGAAAAATATGAAAGTCAGTTGGGATGATTATTCCCAACTGAATGGAAAAAATAAAAAATGTTCCAAAACACCAATCAGTTGTATATAGAGATTTGTTTGAACTGATTTGGCGGCCGCAAACTTGATACCTCTCTTCCTCGGCAGATGAACATTGCCAGAACTGCCGGTGAAACTCTCTCCAACATTG